TGAAGTAAATCAGTACATACTAACATAAGGCAAAAAATGTAAGAAGTCTTGTACTGAGTGCATTCGTTTATGAATTCTGTAGAGTCCAGGGTAGCTTCTTTTGTCTTTGATATTACAGTGAAACAAACTCCTTTTTTATATTATATCTTTGTGTTTATTTTTAACATCATCTTCCTCTTTCTTTTAATAGGGAATTCAGAAGTTGGCTAGTCAATACTTAAAGAAGGATTGGCTTGGAATAAAACCTGATGAGCGAAGTGATTATAGGTAATTTAATGATTTGGGGTTTTAAATAGCTCTCCTTTCATTACCAATCTGTGTAATTATTCTGTCTCACAATGAAGAACCTTCTCTTCTGCAATTGAAATGTAATTGTATTTTGCCTCACCATTTCCAGATGACACGAAGCTTTGTTTATCTGAAGTCCTGAAATAGTTTTAAATTGACAAATGTAGTACTTTTATAGTCTAAAGGGAATGAGGAGCAAATATAAACCAACTTCCAAAACAGCTGCCCAGACATTTAATGGCTTTGTGATGGGTGGTGGGGGAGTATATTTTTATTGTACAGGTTTAATTTGAAGGGTAAGGAAGTGGTAGGAAACTAAAGTGATGTTTGAGGTTAGTATATGTCATACCTAAGAGCAAGGTCCAACAAGAGAAAATGTGTTTATGAAATGAGTTGTATTAGTAAGCAAGATGAATTATAACATCAAAGCAGCCATGATTCAGTTGCTCAGAGGCCATTCCCACTTGAATAGAACCTCCTGAATATTTGATATTTTTTTAATATGTTTTTATATGGGCTTTATAATAATCCTAAGTGTTCCTATCCTCAGAAGGCCAAATAGACTCGTTTGGAACACCCAAAATTGCAAATCTTGTTTTAAATAAGAACAAATTTGTATTTATTGGATTATCTTTAGATTTTCAGCTTCTTCTGGTCAACTCCAGTGTGGGCAAGACAAGCACAAGTTCAATATTTAAACATAAATGCATACTGAAGATAGTGCAAATACCCCTTGCACATCTGCTTGCTCCCCAAGTCCCCATGTTGCCTTCTTTCTCCTTTTGTGCATCTGCTCTCTGCCACTCCTCCACATTTCCCAGGTCTTTCCCCTACTTGCCTGTCTGTAGTGGTCACACACCTTGATTTCTCCTTGCTGGGCTTTGCCACGCTCTGCATTGCCAGACGGTAAGGGTGGGGACCAACCTCATATTAACTCGCCCATCTTGGATTGTGATGGTGGTGGAGGCTAGTCGTGCTAAGTTCACCGAGTGGCTACACAGCTGTCCTATTCCAAGGCCCTGGCTCCAGGACTGGTAGTGCAGATGCACTGGTACTGTGGGTGGTTGCTACAGCTGCCACCTCCAGCACAAATGGCACAGTGGCCTCTAGCAGCTGTTGGATGAAACTGCGGGCTGCTTCAGCACGATTGCTGAGTCCTGTGACTGTTTACATGATTGCAAAGTTGCTCATGATCATGTTAGGTGTTGGCAACGCTGCATATGCCTGCAGAAATTACTTTATTTTTCAAATTAATAATGTCCTTTACCTCTTAGCTGATAGTTTCTCAGGGATTCCTTCATGTATTGTAGTAGATCCAATTAAATGCATTTTGAACAAGTTAAGAGTCGTAAAACAGACAATAGAGGATAAGTCTTGAGTTTTTATAGAATTCCCATTTTAAATTTTTATAGACCTGGAATTACTTGGCAGATCAGCAGAAAGGATTCTGTTTCTTCAGTTGTATAAAAATCTGATTTTTTTTCTTGTGGAGCTTAAGGCTGAAACAGATTGCTTGCTGTATGCTGAGCTATTGTGACCATATATATATATATCAATCAGAATGTTTTTTGCTGCCCTAGTTTTTCGAAACCACAATGAAGTGTTAAACCCGAGATTTTTTCATAGACTTTCAGCATATAGGTGGATTTTTTGGTTACTGCTACTCCTGTAAAGCAGTGCCAACATTGCTGTGTAAATGATTAGTAGTAGTAAAAGTAAAAATATTCTGTTCTCCCTTTACTCCTTCCTGTAACCTTTGGGTGTCTTGATTTTTAGGAGCATGTACTCCGTTTGGAAATCATTTCTAGAAGGCACAATGCAGGTGGCCCAATCCCGGCTCAATATCTGTGAAAACTATAAAAACTTAATTTCCGAACCTGCCAGGACAGTAAGATGCTTCAAGGAACAGCAACTGAAAAAGGTATCATCACTGTTTTTCCCTTTGTACTCTTCATTTAGAGTAATGGTCTTTTCATCTCCAGCAACACTTCACCTTCCTGCGGTCTTTCCTGCCCAAGCACAGGGGAGCTGGACCTGATGATCTCGAGGGATCCCTTCCATCCCCTAACAGCTATGAATCTATGAACACTTTTGCATGATTTGTACGTAGTGCGGTAGAAATAACTTTACAGGTTCTACCTAGCCTTCCAGCTTTTCTCATGCATTCTTTGTGCACTGTATGCTACTAGTTTGTTTTGAACCAGTTATTGATGTCACTGGGCTGAATTTTCCAGAATGAAATTCTGGTTTTAATTGCATTAAATTCCAAAAGGAGTCACACACTAAAGAACGTAAAACACAATTTGCAAACCTAATTTCATGCTTTTGAGTTGGGCAGAATCGGTTCTGTGATTGCATGAATATACTAGAAGTAACCTGTTTTGGAAAAGGTGTTGATTTTTTCCAGATTGGAGCTT